CCAGGACAAACTGGAATGTATCTTCAAGGTATCCCTTGTGGGTATAAAGGGATAATGACTCAGGACTGGCTTTAGGAATAATTGTATCTGGCTTAGCTGGACAGGGTGTCCAATATTAGCAATGGGGCAATAGGTATATTCTGAATACAGTTAGAGCTATTGAACATGTTTGTGATGTAACTGTATGCAGTGTTGTTTAGTGTATGCTGGTCTGAAGCCATTGGTTGGTGTACGTGCTTACTAGTAAATAATATGTGGATATACAGATTGCTAGGCGGGTAGGTAGAGAGGTGTATCAATCTGTAATGCTGGAATATTTCCCGTGTCTTTTTTGTCTTCACTCACTCTAAATCTTTTTAGAATGAGTAAATTTTTTTCTATAGAAATAATGGGGAAGTTAAACTGAAATATTTGTTTTTTAAAAACTGTCCTCAAATATATTAAATTAATAAAAAGGATTTAACTTTTAGTACATGTTACAAAGGCATTTCCTTTAGATTAAGTCTCTCCATGTGTATGTAACAAGTTATTAATGTGAGACTGCTCCACTGATGCCTTGTCCCACTGTGGTGACTTAAGAAAATGCTCAGGTTTGAGAAGAGTCTACAGGTGTTATACATAGCAACAGTAAAGACATAGCTCCCAGTAAAGCTGGTGTCCATTCCCCCTTATTTCACCTGGGGAAAAGAGCATGGACACATGGTCCATGAGAAACTACCTCATCAGAAGCTGGTGTCAAATGATTATTTAATAACAAATAAGAACAGTGTCTGCTTTTTTGTTATTTTTTGTGTGTACGGTACTCACACTCACTTGGTGTGGTGAGATTGCTGCCTAAGGCTGTGCCCAAAAAGCTGCAAGAGCAGGAGCCCGTTGAACTCATGCTGGTTCTGTTGCATGTCTTAATGAAGCTTTAAAATGCTTGAAATTGTCTTTGAAATGAAATACTCCATAGCTGGAAGCTAACTGCATACTTTGTAATAATTGCTTAGCCAAATAAAGGAAAATTGTGAGGAACAAAGAAAAATTAGATTGATGGCTAGAAGAAAATGATTACATAAAAAATTCATGAAGAAGATAAATTAAAAAAATAGCATAGCATCATAGGCTTTTGCACAAAGAATGCCCTTCCAATGGGAGCTTTTCTTTTCCAGCTGTTACTCTGCACTTTCTTCTCCCTGTTTGCTACAAATACTAGAAAAACTTGTTCTGTGTGAATAATGGGGAAGATGGTCACAAATTTATGCAGAAACGGGGATACAGTAAAATTTAAAAGCAGGGGTATGCATTTCACTGCCATTCTCAGTGAGGGCATGTTGTAACGTAAATAATTAATGATTTGACTGGAATTGCCATTTTTAACTCTTAAATCAACTGTGACTAAGCAGAAAGACTTCTGTTCGTAATTATCAGCCCAACTTGTACACTTAGAGCCCTTCTTCACTGAAATTTACTGCTCTTAGTGAATAATGAATAATTTGCTGTAAATGTATTTTCTCATGGTCAACCTTTCTCTCTGGAAGTTAAGACCAGCAAATCGTTATTTGTGGACATGCGTTAATGCCCAAAAGTATCTACAAAGTGTGCAACTGTTTGTTTTGAACAAATTATTTTTGAAGAATCAGTACATCCTCAGGTTTTGTCTCCTTGCTATGGCATGAAAAAAAAAATCTCTGGAATGATTTTAAATTAGAGTGTTTTTAGGGAGAAAATATGGAAGACAGTTACAGTGAACAGTAGGACTTCAGGGAAATACCTACAAGCTAGTGAAGGCATTTTAGAATATTATTGTGAAGTCTTTAGGTGATGTCTGGTAATAGATACTTAATCTAGCAAAAGCAATTTCATTGCTTACTTATTAAAGTAATTTAATGGATGAGCGCTGCTATTAATGGACCACATGTAGAATCCAGACTTTTTTTTGTTCAAAACATTCCTTTAGGGTTTAAATTTCTAAAGAAGTTCAGAGGCATTTTGAAGAGATCTAGACTATTATATACAAGCTACAGAACCATAATTCAGGAACTTTCCTCCTTCTTTCTCAGCATTTCCTCTGCATTAAGAAGAAAAAAGTCACTGTGTAAACATGCATGCAACTCTTCAGTTGTTTGACTGATACACCTTGTTTTGATAACATTGTTAGAAGCCAGATACTGTGAATAGATGGATGTGTGATTGAGCATGCAGAGAGAGGGAGGTGAACAGAGGGCTTAAAAACAGTTGTAAGTTATCTGAACAAACATACAATTTTAATTTGGTTTTGAGAGAATTTTGTTAGTAACATGCATAGTATAGTTCTTGCAAAAAAATTCAAGCAAAAAAGCAGAAAAGCCAAATTATAGCAAAAACCTGCCTTTCTTCTTACCCCAACACTTGGGGATGCTGGAAGAATTGAAGAAGACATCTGGAAAACAAATGATCAGGTAATAAACCCAAACTTTTAGGTTGGTGTTTTAACACCAGTTAGTATGATAAAGTCAAGCTGTTTTGAGCAATTGCAGAAGTTCCTTAGTAAGCGTTGCAGTTTTGCAACTTAGTTTTAAACTAGTACTTTGTTTTCTGGACACATGGCTATGCATTGCTGAAAGTCAGGTATCACCTGTACAGAGTAGGAAGTTGGGGAAGCAATCTATTGTAAATGTCTCTTCGACTTCATGAGGATCACTGCACAGTCACATAGTTACTAAAGAACTAAAATGTTGCTGTTGACTCCAAGATCAGCCATTTCCAAATAAATGTTTGTGAAACCTCCAGCTTTAATAGCTGCATTGTATCATCCAAAAGATGCACAACAGAATGAATAGATGACCTTTCAGATAGAGAACAAGCTGTTCACAATGTCTTTTCATTTAGTGAGACAAAATATTCTTTTTATGTGGAGATAATACTTTCCACCATTTTTAACAACGTTGGTGAAATATAAAGAACGTTTTGTTTCTGAATGCAAAGGGATTTAGCAACACGTTGTTAGAGCAGGACTCTTTCTAGACTGGCTATGTTAAATGCATTGATCTAGCTGGATTTTTGTTGTTGTTGTTTGGGTTTTTTGTAAAGACAATGGAGGTATTTTGAATCCCATGCTCACAGGGTGGGATGTCATTAGCTATCCACCCATGTGACATCCACATGATATCTGGCTTTGATAAACAGATGAGTTCTTATTGCCATCCTGCACCACAGCTATGTGGTCAATAATTTACTGACAAGGAGGTCCAAGGCAGCTGTAACTGAAACTGGTCTAAATTACTGTGAAATTGCAGCCTCAGCATGAAAGGCTGCTGGGATGCTCACAGTTGCACACTGGTACACAAGCATTAGCTTTGACTGGAACAGATTACAAACAAATAGTGAGAAAATCGGGATACAGATGTCAGGGCTCAGCCTTGCCTTTCTCATGTGAGGTATGCCTTGGCCCTTAGTTTTTGCAGTTGTAAATCCAGCACTTAATTCACAATTGAATCATTGGTGCTAACCAGTAATAACTAGTTATACTGGTGACATATTTTTTGCTCTCCAATGTAACTGGAATTAATTCTGTTATTGTTCAGCCTCTGTCCATGTTCCTGTTCTTACTTGGTAAAGCAGGTGGTGCAAATCTGTTTTCTCATTAAGGGAACACAGCATATTTGCTGGAATTCAAAGAAATACAGTGCATAGGAAATCCTCAAAACTGAAGGAAAATCTTACCATTTGGGGAAGGCAAAAAAGGCAGAACTGGAAAAACAAAACTTTTTTATTTAGATGTTAAAAAGACCAATGTAATTCTCTTGTCTGTTTGCAGAAAACAAAATATTTTGTTGTTTGAAACCAAACACAAACTTATTCCTAGATCACACATCATATATGAGTAGTTTGCTACAATTGGAAGCAAATTTGGTTAGGATTTGTAGAATAATTTCAGTTGGAAGGGATCTGTGAAGTTGTCTGGTCCAACCCTTGCTCAGAGCAGGTCCAGTAAGATCAAGATGCTCAGAGCTCAGGCAAGCCCTGAATATACCTGATGCTGGAGATTCTGCAGTTTGTCTAGGCAGCCTGTCCCAGTGGTTGACCTTCCTCACAGGAGGAAAAAAAATCCCTCATATCCAGACAAATTTTCATTTGTTGCACTCTCTGATGGTTGCCCCTTATTTTGTTGCACATCTCCAGGAAAAGTCTGGCTTGATCTTGTCACTCCTCTGCCACTGAGTTGTTGAAGACCATCATAAGATTACCCTAAGCCCTCTCATCCTAGAGCAAACTGAGTCCTTTCAACCTCCTGTTACATGTGATAAGACTTCGGAAAAATCCTAAAACTGGTGTGGCATGGGCATGAGGACTGTGTCAGTTACACTGAGATCTGAACTGGCAGTGCTGTTCATCCTGACAGCATGAGGTGCTATAACTGTAGTGGGTGGGGATGGTCTGTTAACAAGTAGCGTCAGCCTGGTTTTGTAAAACTCATAGAAACCAGGTGGAGAAAAAAAAACTTCCATAGTATAATTAAGTAAACCTTAGGGAAACCTTCTTGGCACTTACAGTGCTGTTCACAAGACCAACAACCTAAAGATTTGAAGATATTTCATGGTTCTCAACTACTGTGCGTAAATGTTAGTCACAGTACATGGCAATCACAGTTTTCTCTCTCTTATTACTGAAAACTTTTCTTCAGAATTTCTAGAGCAGCTTAACTGGTGGAAAGGTTGCTTTGCATGCAGCAGAGCCAACCAGGATGGTGGTGTTTGTGCTAAGGACTTTTTTACCTATTCCTGAACTGTGCATATTGTTGCTTGTTGGCTCTTTGAGAGCTGATGATGTTCTTGTTAAATAAAGAATCTGATTGTTATGGCACCATATTTTTAACAGTTTGAATTTTAAGTTTAATGTATTCTGTATGCTTTAGACCTTTTTCTTTTTTTCTGGGAGGTGATCCTATTCCTGCCATGCACACTAACAGGAGTAGATACTCTCTTCCTCCTCTTGCTGATGTATTGTCCCTTGGGCTTTTTTGTCTTCCTCTGCAGAAACTCTCCTGGATGACTTCCTTCTCACGTACACAGTCTTCATGACAACTGATGACTTGTGCCAGGCACTTCTGAGGCAATATCCTTTTATTAAATGTTGTATTAGTTGGGGTCATGCACTTACACTTGGGTTTATCTATTATCAAGCCTTATATCAAATGTAAGTAAATTCCATGCCTGGGATAATTGGTTTTAAATAACATATATTTATGTTATTGAAATACAACAAATTTTGGCATCACTGCAAGAAATATATGAACAAATAGGAGAAACTCAGAAGAGAACAATGGAAATTGCCAGTGTTTTAGAAAAACAACAAGCCCTATAAAGGATTGAAAGAATTCAGATTGTTTTAACTGAAACAAACAAACAAACAAACAAAAACAAACAAACAAAAAAAAACTACAAATGGGACAAACTTTTAGGTACCTAAAGAGGAAGGAAAGAATCTGTTCCCATATTGAAGCCAGATAGGACAAAAGGCAGTGCAATTAAATTGCTGTAAGGCAATTTCCTGTTAGATAACTAGGAAGTACTCTTTTTACATTAAGACAAGACACACAGGAGTGGAAAATGTATGAGACAGTAGAATATTTGATATTGAAGAATATTAAGAGGAAGAAACTAGCAAATATATTCCAAGGTTATCATAGGGTATACTTGAGCCTCTCTTAGGGTGGGCTTGGATGGACTGGTTTAGCTAATCCTTCAAGGTCTCTTCTCCAGTCCAGTTGCTGGAACGTTTTATGATAGTTGGAATTTGATTCAAATCTGTAGCTTCCCAAAGTTCAGATTATATCGTTTTCTTAAATGGATTGTGGAGGAAAAGATTCAGATGGAAACATTAAATCCAAAGTTGGATGTGAGTTCCCCTAATTGCCACATGCCCTGTTGAAATATTTAGAATTTGCACAGCTGAGGAATCAATAAACAGAAAATTCATGTTCTGAAGTTGAATGTACAAAGCTAAAGCTGCCTCTGAATAAATCTGCTTCCAAAACATACATGTTTGTATGTGCATACTTACTTCACAAGGCTGCTTGAAGGATATATTGAAACGAATGCCTAACTCAAAGTAACAACGCAATCTTATGTCTGCTGTTTTATTTTAAAGATAAATAAACCTTTATCACTTCATAAAAATGTTACAAAATAACATTTTAAACTAGGGCTAAGACCTGTATGTTAATTCTTAGAATGCCTATATCTGTGTAATAAATTTTGGAATATGTGAAGAGAAATAAAAGAGCAGTGTTTTACAATCTCTGCTCCTTTTATCATGTGATACAGTACATAATTGTAACTCATTCTGGGATAAAAGAATTTTTTTCTTGTATTTCCAATTACTTCCATAAGCTATGGAGCATTGCTTGAGTGAAATGGTGGCTATAAAATGAACTTGCTTTCCTAGGAAAAAGAACTTGCTTACTTAAGAAAATAAAAAATATCGAAGGGACAGGAACAATGTACAAAATGGATATCTTCTGTCATTTAGAACTTGTGCTTTGTGAATAGGGAACAATGGTGGAAATGGATTCTTTCACTTTTTTCTTTTTTTTTATTCTAACACTGTTATTTCTGCAGATAGTGTAATTTGTGCAGGGGAAAAAGAAACTGACTTCCTCTGCCTGAGATTTTTGTTGTTGTTAATGATGCATTGTCCTGCTTCCCACAGACATTCATGTTGGCATCTGTGTGCAGGACAAAGGTTCAATCCCAGTTGTGCAGAAAAGATATGACTCAACATTGTATAATTCCTTTTGAATTGATTTTACTTTTATAGACTTGCCTCTATAATCTATAAAGGAAAAAAATCCTGCTGGTACAGAGGATGAACTGACATTTCTATTACTGTGAATTTAATTCCAAAATGTTGATGGAACTCCTAAAGCTCCAGATAGGATGAAACATTTTAAACTGGGCAATGTAGTGAAAAAACTTTCATTGGCAAGTAAGATGATTGTAAAGTGTTTTCTATCACTTAATTTTTAAAGTTTCAGTGAGACCTTTTTATTCATTCCTTAACCTACTGTACCTATTGTGCTAAGAACCACCAAGGGAAAGAAGACGACTCTGATGTGTCCTGTAGGAAGCGAAAAGTCTTGCATTTGGTGTCTCAGTGGACTTCTCTCTACAAAGACTGGTTGCATGAAGATGAGCATTTAAAACAATTTTTAAAGGTATTGAAACACTTTCTGATGCATTTCAGCACTGTTTGATTAACATACTGTCTAAAAAGCCCCAACAGCAAAATCTCTAAGGCATAATTTCTCATGCTTAAATTTTCTCCATGAAATCTATAATGTAAAATGATTTACATGTGTCTTCTTTGAACGCTGTAGAGTTCGTTTGAACAGGAAACCTGAAACGTCAATACATTCAATATCAAAAACTTTCAGATATGAAACTTATAGAACTCCATAGTCTCTAGAAAATGGGAAAAGTTAGAAAGGTAAAAAATAAAACTAGAAAGATGTGGAGGTTCCTTGGATACACTGGTCCTGTCTGCCAGAACAGGCTCTACAGCTGGCAGCCAGAGGATCACAGATGAAGAGAGGTTTTTAAAGTCCTTGTAAGAAATGCTTCTTTGACTGACGAGTGAAATGCTATTCCACAGTGTGTGTCAGGAAAGTAGCACACCTTTATGTATTTTTAGTAAACAAAATTATGTCCTTACTTAATAACAATGATTTTCTGATCTTTCTGAAGGAGTTACAGAAGCTTTTATAATTTCCTTGTAAACTTGCCAATAGCTATGTTGTCTCTGACTCAAGATCCATCTGGTTCTTGATATTTAAAATAATTAGTTTTGTTTTCCCCCTGCTGGTTGAAAGATGAAAGTATTTTTGGAGACTGCAGGATATTCCACCTTTCCTGGTGAGACTGTCTGCAACTGGAGGTTTTCTTAAGGCCCTTTTGGTTCTTATCAGTCATTTGCTCAAGCCAAAGAGGTGAAACATTGAACTAAATTTGGAGAAGGTCTTGAGCTTTGGTTTTTGTTTTTGTTTGCTTTTGGAGTAGGACACACTGCATATGGCAGCACAGACCTTACGATTTTTGCTGTTTGATACTAGATGTGTTGTGCTGTACTGGGAAGGGGTCATCATTCCAGCCATCAGTTAGGTTATGCTGCATTGCACCTGTCTTGATGCTGGACTTGTCTTGCTTACACAGTCACACACCTCCACGGGCATGGTTGCACAATTTCTCTGCTTGGGGCTTCTGTGCAATATTAAACAGAAGTAATGTTCATGATGGTTGAAGCTGTGTGTGCAAAACCAGCATATAGGATTGTAGGCCAAAGTCATTCGTGCTGATTTTATGAGATCTTCCCATTTGTATACAAAAGAGTGTTAACATTTTTCCCTCCTCCTTCGTGAGGATACAAAGAGTGTTTCTCCAAAGATAAGTTGAATGTTGACCGGTCTGGAAATATAAACAGGAACGTTGTCTCCTTGTGGGTTCTGCATAAATATAATGATGACATTTGCCTTAGTAGACTAATGCCTGAGTTGATGTAGACCACTGATGTGATACTTTAGATTTATGTTTATCAGATGTGTGTAGACACTGTTTTATTTTGCAGACGATATACCGGAATGTGCTAGATGATGTGTATGAATATCCCATTCTTGAGAAGGACCTGAAAGAATTTCAGAAGATACTTGGGATGCATCGTCGTCAGTAAGTATTGATTAGATTTGTGATCAAGTCTCCTTCTATTGAGATGTAATTTATTTTTGTTGTCATGTTGCTGTAATTCAGTAAAGACAAAATGATGAGTGATACAAGTACTATATTAATTTTTACAAGTTATCTCTTCTTTAAACCAAAGCTAGATTATTCAGTGTTCTCTGATATTTCTTGGGTGGTGTGTGTGGTTCAACAGTCACTCTCATCAGTTTTGGTTGGGATGACTTGCAATTAGAGCAATAATTTGTGGCAAAGATGAGGAAATTTCCCTTAGAAATTAAAAAAACTAAAAAAGTTTCTAACAACTTAGAAGTTTCAACCTGTGACTGCAGAGGGTACTTTCATTCTCAGTTCTCTCTCTGCAATCTGCAGCACTGAGAAGCAAATTTCTGTTGCAACAGTCATCTCAGGGTTATTATTTCACTAATAATTATGGTATTTGTGAAAGGTATTTCCTTGGCACATTTTTGCATCAGATGGAGTTTTTCTGTGGCTTGGCCATTGTGGAAGTGGAAGGAGCTGTGTCCCTGAGGGTGTCCCTGACTGCTTATCCTGGGGCCCTGAGCTGTGCCTGTGTTCTCTGGCAGCAGCTCGTGGACTGGCAGCATTGCTTTTCACTACATCAATTGTGCAAGTCACAGAGAAGTTTTCTGGCTGAGCCAGATGCCCTTAACTTTCCCTGAAGTAGCTCTGCAACCATTCTGCAGGGACCATTTAATGTTAAAATCTTTCTTATGTTGTAAACTGTGTAATATCTAAAACTTGCTTTTTCTAAGCTTTGGCTAGAAAGAATAATTTGGGTTTTCCTTTTTTGTTTCAGCACTGTAGACGAGTATTCACCTCACCGAAAGGTAACGCAAACCTGATTGTTGGTTACTAGATAACTTATCTCCCTTTCTTTCCCCTGTCCACCTCCCTCTCTTTACTTGGCTTCTCAACTGACAGTGACTGGTGGGCAAAAACATGACAGGATACATCAGTGAGGTTAGAGCTGCAACACTATTTAAGGAATTTTTTTTTTCTGCAAGTGCAGCCTGGATATCAGCTGTGTGAGCTAACCTGCAGTGGCTATGACAATATTAGCATCTTAACAAGATACTCTGAGATGCCAGAATTCAGGAGAGGCCTGGGAGCATGTCCCTGCTGGACTGGAGACATGTAGCAACCTAGGCAGACCAGGCTGAGCAGACACGGATGTCAAGCAGACAGAGCAAAGGGGGGATTTTTTGTGACAGGGACAGAGAAAGAAAGAAGAACATGAATCTGTTTATTTAACCAGAGGGAGAAGATGCAGCTGGAGAAAGTTGGTGTACAGACTGCACAGAGGTGAATTGCTATGCTCATCGAATTTACTGGGCTGAAGCTGAAGTGTGTAATAAGCTTAAAATGTTACTGCAGAAATGTGGAAAGGAGAACATGAGATTGTAGTGAAATTGCTAAGTAGGCTGATTGGTACATAGGAAACATATGAGTATATAAGAAATGGGCTCTGAAAATGACTACAGAGACCCTTGAATCATGCAGGCTGCTTGGCCCTGCCATGTCCTTCTTCCTCCAAAATCCCCAACTTGGCCATTATTTCATAAGGTCACTCACAATTTACTGATCTAAGAAAGGGTGGGTGAATTTCCTGCACAGAAACCTTTATGGCCAGGCGTATGGGGTAACTGCTGTGTTCTGTGAATTACTGCTTTGTAGAGGGCAGAGTTGCAAAGAGTCACTGTTGTCCCTTTTTTCTTTCCTATCCCACTCCCTTACAGAATAAAACCTTTTTCCATCAGTTCAGTCTAAAGGAGAACTGGCTGCAGCATAGAGGAACCATGAGTGACACAGAAGAAAGTAAGTATGATTGAAAAAAACGGAGGAAAAACTCTGAAACTGTGAAATAGTTTCTCAAGGGGTACCCGTAATGTAATTTTTTTTTTTTTAAACTGACATACAGCTTCTGAACAGACCTCAGGGCCACAAAAAGAGAAGGATTTGACTGTGTATGGTTACCTTCCTGCCTCCTTCGTTGCAGAGCTTCAACAGTGACATCTCAAAGTGGTATCTCAAGGGGTTTTTGCCTCATCCAGTTCCTCCAGCAGCCCTGTAGCAGAGCTGCATGCCTCCCAGGAGTGCTGGCAACCTGTCCACCAGGAGTTATTCCTGCTCCATTTCATGCTTTCCATCTCTTGACCTGGATTTTGGTTGTGAAAGGTGAATGAATAAGCCTGTCACATGAAATGGGCCAGGATCTACTAACTCTGGGAACCTGCCTTTGCTCCTTCTCTCCTCGAAAGCATTTCCCTGTGGAGTGCAAGGTGCCATTTCATTTTAATGTCAACCATTTCAAAATGCAATTTCCCTTCATCACTACTAATGCAGTAACATAGTGAGGCTGTCACCCTCCTATAATGCCTGTACAAAGAAAGAGGCAGAGAGGAGGGAAACTCTATGTTCGCAAGCAGAGCACAGGCAGAAGGTCCTCCTACCTGGAAGTCTTGCTCTTTGATACTTCTTTGTTTCTCACTGGAAACAAAACTCCAGAAGTTTGGAACGGAGTATATTTTTAGTGCTCATTTGTGACAGAATAAAAATGAGCTTCTTCAATGCTAAGTCTTCCTACACAATACATGCTGCTGATAGATACATACTGCAAAATACAAGTTTTTTTAAAGTTTGTGTTATCAAGGCTGCTTCTAAAGTTATTATTTCCAGATGTAAACCCCATGCTCATTATTCTTCCTAAAAAGCCAGAGCTCATGGGTTACTGGCACCAGAGACTGCATGGCATGGAGGCAGAAAATGCAGAACCCAGGAAGGCCAGCCCCAACTGGGTTAAATTGCTTTTTTCTCACTCTTTGAGAGCATGAGCCACAAAAGATGATGGGATTGAGGTAGTGAAATAAGTGGGTAAGTGGAGTTGGGGAGGGGAGAGGAGAGACAGGTGCTGAGGGTGGACATCTAAGTTGGTGTGACGGAGTGATGCTGACCGATGGTTCTTGTGGAGGATAGGTCTGTCCAAGCCACACCATGCCACTTGACTGCAGACATTTTATTCCCTAGTGTTAGCATTACCAGGGCAACTTGCAGCCGATGGCCACTTTCTCCCACTGCACCTCCTGCACCTCACAGAAGAGCAGCACTGGCTTCTGGAAGATACGACATGGTCCGTGCCAACAGATACCACAGATAGGATATTGGAAAGATGCGTGGGGGAACAGGCTTTAGGCAAATCAGTACTATGGTCATGCTTGAGGACCTGGCCTGTGGGTTGTTTGAATTCAATGTTAAACAAAAGATATGTCAATAACCCAGTTACAAATTAACATTGCTGTCATCGTTCCTTCCCAAGTGACAGAGGAGGAGGTTTCAGGCAAAAGCACTGTAAGCAAGATGTGTCACACTCTGCATGTGGAGTCCAAATATTCCTGTCAGGTTTTTTATAAAACTTGTTTTTCTACCTAGTAATTTATAGTGCAATTTTGTGTCTCTATTTTTTTGTGACTTCTATCCGTTCTGAAGGGAGATTTTGCCATAGGATGAGCATCTAATTTACTGTCTGTCAGTAGAGACAGGTTAAGAAAAAATTACAAAATCAAATCGCTTTTCATCCCCAAGGCTAAATGTTAAGTTCCTCCTTCCTTCTCATCTTCATTTTTTCTTCACTACAACACACACACACACACACACACAAAAAGACAGTTTTGAGGATAGAGTTCTTAACTGCTTCTGGCATGGTCTTGGTTAATGAAAGTGCCCTGAAGCCATGAAAATTTGTAGGACAAGCAAAGAGCTATTGCTATATACATCTGTCAATAAAAATAATTCTAAAAGTTACATCATTTCTGGAGAAGAAAAGTTTTGTCTTATATTTACTGACATGGTAGCAGCTTGTCTGTAGTAAGAAATGCTAGAATAGAAGGAAATGGAAAATTTAATTAAGCACTGAAGTGAGTTTAAATCCAAGAGTTGTGGCAGTTCTTATTAGCAGATGTTGTAATTTTTGAATTATTTATATAAGTCTGCAGCTCTGTTTCTTCTAAGCCTGGCAGCTGCATTTCAAGGAACTGGCTACAGCAACTCAGCAAAAGATGTAAACCTAAAATCCCGGCAAGTGGAGAGAATGTGCATCCCTTTTTGTAGCAGAAGCAAAGTACTGGCTGAGCTGACCACAGCATTACTGCTGGGAATCTCCCTCCCACAGCCGAGTTGACTCGTGGGTTTCAGTGGAAGTGATGAGCCCAAGGAATTCCTCTAAACCAGTCCCTTTTGTGTGCTGCAAGTGATTCAAGGAAAGATTTGTCAGAACTAATTGCATTGCTGTTTGGGCAGCCTCTGGTGCTAAAACACTCTGGTAATGCAAGTAGTTTAGATGTCTAGACAGATAAGCTAGTGGGAGTGGCTGAAGACGGAGGAGCAATGTTCTTGTGAAGCCTCCTGTTCCAGGTGGAAGTCCGAAATAGTTTCTGCAGTGGATGTGAAATATGCTGAAAGGACAATGATTTATCTGAACCTAAAAGGAAGGGAGAAAAGGTGGCAACAGCTGATTTTGCAAAGTGGATAGGCAAGATGAAAAGGTTGTCTGTGATGAATCCTCAGGGTAGGAAGTCTTAAATAAGTGTTACTGGGGGGGGGGGCGGGGCTGTCTCTGTTTGCATTTGCTTGCCCCTCTCATTTCTCATGGAGGAAAGGGGGAAATAATTTTATTTATGCTTAGTTTCACGTCCTTGTGGGTCAGGGTGCAGCAGCCAGGCAGCTAAGGCATTGCCATGATTGGGTCCACAAGATTCAACTCTGCTCTGTTCAGGTGTCTCTACATACTACTGAGCATGTCTTTCTTCCTTTGTGCAGTTTTCTGCCGTGTGTATATAACAGAGCACTCCTATGTCAGTGTGAAAGCTCAAGTATCCACTTCAGCTCAGGAGATACTGAAGATAGTAGCAGAGAAGATCCAGTACCCAGAGGAGGAGTTGGCGCTGGTGACAGTCACGTTCTCTGGCGGTAAATAACTTCCCTTCATCTGATTCCTTACCTTTTCTTGCCTGACGTAAGGGAGGGCTGACATTTTGTAGTGCAAAGATACAGCTGTTCCGTTGTGGGCCCACAGCTGGATGACCACGGGAACAATGAGGAGCTGCTTTCCAGAGAGTCGTTTCCATGGCAACAGCTCGTTCTTGGGGACTGTTGGATTCAGCATCTCCTCGCTGGGAAGGGAGTGCAAAGGACTCCCAGTCGCCAGCAGTACTGCAAGATTTTATTTTTCTTCCCCACAGATGGATCTCCTACTTTCACATTTAAATTAATTTGGGAAGCAATGAGGCATGGTTTGCATTAAAAATATAAAAGGGAATAACAAATACTACATGTGGCTGTTTCCTCTTTGATGGCATGGGTAATGAATATTCTCCAGCAGAAAGAGATACATTTGCACAGTTGATACACTGAGAGCAATCTAAGCAATATTTTGTAAGCAGTCTTGCTTACTACTGATATTTTTTGCCTATTATTTTGGTGCTTCTCATTGAACAGAAAGGCTTATGATCTTTTTTTAAGGAAGACCAGACTGATCATGGGCTGATGCTAGAGACCAGCCAAACCCCCAAGATTTTCTTTGGTGTTTGGCACTCTCAAGCTCATTGGTCAGATTGTTTTGCTCATTGTGGTATCTTTTGGCTCTTAGGGAATATAAAGGAAACAATTTAACTAGATGCATAGAAATGCAAAGCTGGATCTACAAAAAGGGCTAAGAGTGTAGAGTGTTTTGGCCATATTCTCAGGTAGCATTAGTTGGTGTCAGTCCCCTGGGACAAAGGGTGCACCCTCAGAGATACAGCACTCGTTGCTACTTCTTTGTCAGTCTAGCTGAATGAAATGTGCACAAATGCTGGATTGTTCTGTTTATTTATTTGATTCAGAAGTGGAAAATCATGTTTTTCTTCCTCACACCATTCTCAATTAAATGACCATTTTTTTTCAGGGCACTGGTGTGGGTGGCAGAGAGATGGTGCCCTGCTCTGGCTATCAAGAACCTGGGCACAGCGTGGCCACATGGGAACATTACACACTCCATGTCCTGGCCAGCCAGGCTACATCATTTCAGGCATACTCTTTTTACCCTTGTGTGTGCCCAAATTCAACTCCAGTGCATTTTACAACACTGCAAAATCACTGTGCTGCTGTTTTCTCACATCTTGGGCCCCTGTTCAAGAGCAGAGCAAGTTTTCCTCTGATAGCAATAAATCGGGTGCTATCTGCCTACCTAGCTAAAGAAAACCAACAATTCATAAATAATGAACACCCTATCTAGACCACGTTGGTTCCCACAAACACCACAGAATAGGAGTGGTTGCCACTTGGCTGTTCAGTAAGAAAGAATGATTAAAGTGCAGGTACAATAGGACTGTCATTTGTACGTGACCACTGTAACCCCTAAAATCTTACATAGTCATGTTGCCTGATTAATTGGAGACATCCCAATTTCAATATCTCTGTTCTTAAGCATTGTCACTCCTGTGCCACAGCAATAAACACTAACCTGCCACACTTTTTTTTTTTTTTCCTTTGCTTATTTTACTATTTACTTGACTCAGAACTGTCATTTGCCATCCACTTGGAGGGCAGCATTATGAGTATTGGAGAATGCATTTTTATTGTACTTCTGAAATGAACAAACAAGCTCCTTTTATTCAAAATTACCTTGAAGAAACATACTGATAGTTAACGCAGTCTGAAATGATATTTGGATCTCAGACTCCTTCTGGTCTTACTCCTCCCTCATGGACAATGAAAAGTCCAAGGTAGCTATCAACATGCTTGAAGTGTTTTTGGGTCTGTATTAATACAGTCACTGTAATCAAATCTCATGTGTCACATCTCCAGATGATTACTTGGAGCCCACCAGAGGAGACAGTTTTCCCAGGGCAGTTGTTTAGATGCATTTTGGGTTTTGCTTTATTTCGATCCACAGCTTTCTTTGGTGCATCCAAAATTGCCGAGAGCTGAAGCAGCACTCTGGAGTGGGGGGAAGAAAAAAGCCCTTTCTCTCTGCTACCAGTTTGATGTGTCCTGTTCTTTTAACTCAGATATTTCCTAAATAATTACTCTAGATCTAGAGGAATTTCTGTAAATACTGTACTATAAAGGACTCTTCAGCTCTGCTCCACGGGGTGAATTTCATGGCGTTGGGATCCTTTAAACTTCTTTTTCTGCCAAATGACTTTGGCTGCTGATGACATCTCCACCCCTTCTGTTGTCTGCCAGTGACAGGCAACAGCTCAGCCTCTGCAGTCTGAGACACTGCTCTTACAAAAGTCACTATATTTACAGTAGACACACTGAGCTGAAATTAAGTGTTCTAAAATGCATAGGAAGTTAGACCAGATGATTTAAAGGTTTCTTTCTGTTCCATCCTATGTGAAGCCCAGGTTGAAAGTAGATGCTGGAACTTTTTTTTACTCTAGTCCAGCATCAGACACATCTTGCCCTTATTGTACCTGAGTAGTGTGGATATGATGGTCCCCACAGAAACTGGATATGATGCTTAGTTCCATGCTAAGAAGTTGATGTGGCTTTACAAATATATTTTTAATGTTTTGCTCATATTTGTATACAGCTTTTTCTCCTTTTCTGAAGCTATTGTGTTTTATTTTCTCTTTTTCCAGAAAAACATGAACTACAACCCAATGACTTGGCTATCTCAAAATCTTTTGAGTCATCCAGTCGTATGTTTGTCTGCCGAAAAGATCTGACTGATTCTTTGGTAAGGATCTGTATTGTATAGTTCTTTTTTTTTATTTATCTGACTTAAAATCAACCATATAATATTCCCCTCAGGGCTTTTTCAATAAAATAGTTTGGTTTTTGATTCCTTAGTAAAGCTTACTGAGCTACTCTATACATGGAAAAAAACAGTATCTTACATTAACAGCAGTTATTTGACTGAGCAGTAATGGAATTTATTCATCAGTTTCAAATAGATCAAACTTTCTGTACAGCTTAAGTCTTTCAATCTGCATCAGCCTGGAAAAGCTGACTTGTACTTGTACAGGACTGGGTGGGATGAGGATTATTTATTATTTGGGGCCCATGTGACTCATCCAACCACACCCCTGGCCCCAGCTGCGCACAGTTAAAGTGGCTGGTAGATAATCATCCAAAGCCGTGGACAAACTGAGTGTAATTGCAACATGTAGAAATAGATTTCACGTGAGTTCTACCAAAATTACCGGGCACCAGCGTGACCCCAGTGCTGTGGCAGCCACACAGGCAGTCTGTGGCTGGTGTATGCTGCTGGTGGTACGTCCTCTGCCCTTCCTTCTCTCTTGTCTCTTCATCCTCTTGCTGGTGCTGGGGAAAGGAGCAAGTCAAAGGGCAGCAGGTCTCTCTCATTCCCTCTGTCCTCAGAAACCAGGATTGCAAGCTCTCTCCTGCCTGATTTCCCAAAATCTCCGTGAACAGTCAGGCACTCAAAGAATTACTCTTTCAATAGTTTTCTGCTCATTATGCAGATGTCTGAGGAAAGTGCAGGGATGGTATCACAACTGACTTCTACATATTGTCAGTACCACTAGGTTCTGTGCACTCATCCTAGGGATGAGAAATGTCTCTTCACATTTTTGTTGGACCAATGTTGTCCCAGAGAGCTGATGTGCCACTGTCATTGTAATCTGTCATCCCCATTATATCTGGCATTCTAGCCACCTCCAAAAATGCAAATATTAAGGGAAGGTTTCCAGTGCAGACAGGTGACAGCTGATCTAGTTTCATTAGTTACATAATAAAAATCCCAAAATTTGCTGTAACTGCCAGAAATAGGGCACAAAAGTAATGGCTTAGCTGATAAGAATAATCTTTCATCTTGGCACAGGGTTCATGTGCCATGTTTCAGCTTGACATGGTGAAAAGAAACCAAGAGAAGTGCAAACCTTTGAAAGTCCAAGCTAGTAATGGAAATGTCAAATGACCTTTAACACCAGCAGTACCAGTGCACTCCACAGTAATATTCTAAGTAAATTTTCTGAATCCAACCCCGCAGTGTTTTACTTTTTTCTGCTAATTATATTTGGAGTGGATTAATCATAAAATGTACGGATTTACATTATTTGTAAGGGTAGATTGGTAGTCAAGTTTTATTTATTCTAAATCCAGTCTGTTCGCAGAATTATTTCTTTATCTTACAATACAAAAATTTCCTGATGTTTTAATTCAGATTTTGTTTTCTGATGGTTCCAGGGATCAAGGTTTAGAGAAAGAGAGAGAAGGGGAGAATGCCTAATCCAGTAGCAAATCATTGATCCTATTGACTCATTTCCTGTTCCATGCTATTTATTAAGTAGGCTATAGCTTCTTGATTTTGATTAGTGGTGGTTTAAAAACCCTCAGAGTGCACTTAGAGAAGATTACTTACTCAGCTCTGTTTGGTACCTCAATCCAGTAGCTGTGTCACTGCAGAACTTTAGGCATTTGCTGAGGAATTTTTTCTCTTGGCTGTTGATTTAGAACCCATTTGCTGAAAATGAGGAATTGCAGCAAAGGTCTGTGAGAATTTTGGGAATCAACACCTGGGATCTTGCCTTAGAACTAACAAACTTTGACTGGAGCCTCTTCAATGCAATTCATGAGGTAAGAAGCATCACATCCACTTCCAGGTATGTTACTCTCAGCAGCATTGTGTCATTGTGATGCATTTTGAAGCATCATCATTCCTTGATGCTCAGTTTGCTGTCATGACAATGTGCTTTGGCAGTTCTCAGTAGTGGTGGCATTTAATAACGTCCAAGAGGTGTGTTGCAATCCTTGATACTGAAAAAAATTGTCAAAGGTTTGTAACTTCTCTATGCTAAAGCATCTCATATGTTCCCTGTATACCTGATGGGTTTTTATTGAGATTTGCCTCAAGGGAGTAGAAGAACATGATTATTCTCTAAAATCCGTCTGCACAATTATGTTATATATACAGAGTGTCCTTTGCACCTGATAACGTTCTAGTAAATATAGAACTCCACAAATAGGTATACTTGATATTACTTTTCCAGAAAAGAATTCACAGTTTGAGCAATTTAGATGGTCACATTCTTCTTAGGCTTTAGTGAGATAAAAAAATACCAGGCAGGCTTTATAAAAAGGGATAGTGGCCCACTTCAGTGCCTGTTGGGCTGTTTCAATGACTGTGATAGGTTCTCGTATGGCTGCTGAGTAAAATACCTGGTTAACAGTACAAAATGTCACTTGAAAGTATCACTCACTGAAAAACATGTTGGTTTACTGAGAAAATGAGTGGGAAATTCCTGTGCTTCTCATCAGATTCTTCCCTTGATCTTTCATTCCATGTTCTTTTATTCAGGTTAGACACTTCAAATCTAGAGCTGGTCAAGTGATTTTGTTTTTTTTTTTTTTTTTAAAGAAGTCAAGACCAAGACTTCTGTTGATGAAAACTTGGCTATTTTTAGGCATAAGTTTGAATGGAAATTTTTGAGATTCTACAATCATATGATATGGCTGCTTTTTCATTCTGGAATAAAAGTGATAAAATACAGAAAGGGACAAACTGTTTATGTCCTGTACCCGGCTGTAGCCAGAAGTGGAACTGAAGGAAATCTCACAAGAAAATCATGTCTTGCAATACTTCAATCCACCTGTCTACTGTTATAAGCTTCTAGACTTTGCTAAGCCAAACCTGGACCCTGAATCATTTGTGATAAGCTCATGGATAATGAAAAAATAAGCGTTTGTAACCAGGTCTTGTTTAAAAAACATACTTCTAAATAATTTATAGTTCACTTACATTTAAAAGTTTTTTTTATATCCCTAATAATGTTGTTAATGTCTTCCAGCAAGAGCTGATATACTTCACATTCAGCAGACAGGGCAGTGCTGAAAACACGGAAAATCTCAGTCTTCTGCTTCAAAGATGCAACGAGGTTCAACTTTGGGTTGCCACCGAGATACTCCTCTGCAGCCAGCTCTGCAAACGTGTACAACTAGTCAAAAAGTTCATCAAAATTGCTGCCCAGTAAGTTACTAAAGTTGCAACAAAAATCCTTGAATTCACATGCTCTATTTGGTAGAAGTAGGTGCAAAAACAAAGAAGAAACCTAATTTATCATCCTCTGTTGTAGTGTCATAATCATACCAAGGTAGGACAGTCCATAAATAACAACAGCAAACACTGACCAAAACTAGATGTGGTAGAGTACATCCTGCTCAGTTCTTCCCCAGTGGCTTAGCTGCTATATCTGCAGTGCCAACTGCAAAATCCCTGATGGTGCAGAGGTGTCTCCTTTCTTAGCAGAGGTAACCTGAGGAACATGTTACAAAAGTATTTGAGCAGCAACACAGTTATTCACTAAAGTTTACACGCAAACAAAAAAAACTCTGTTATAATCTTGAAAGTCCTACCTCTAGAGAGGAAACCAGCTGCAGTAAGCTGTTGCCCCACGTAATCCTCTCTGGAGTACTCTTATTTATTGGGGAGGAGACTGTTCATTAATTAGATTCAATAGTCTATTCTAGTACTATTACTAAATAGTGCTGGCATTAATTCTATGCCTTGGAACAGAATACAAATATATACTATACGCAGAGTTCTCTTATTTTAATCACTTATTTTAGTAACGAAAGAAATGGAGCAATTTAAATATGTGCGACCATTCTCCTCGCCTCTCCACTTGTTGGTCTTCTGCAATATTGGAATGTGTGTGTTCACGGAAAATGTATAATTTGTTCCCTTCATTGACTGGATTGATTTAATTTGCAAGGCACTCACATAGAAAGGACTGCTCTCTGCTAAAGCAGTGCCTGTGGTGAAATGAATTCTGCTAATCCAATCTAATCTAATGTAATTTGATTTAGTTCGCAAGTTGTATGGTATCCAGTAAAACGTTCATTTTTCTGCCATATCAATGCCCAAGTTTGGTCCAATTATGTCAAAAATGGTTGATCTGTGTGCCTTGCTTTCATCACAGTAGCATTCCTG